AATTTTAAAGAAAACAGTATGCCCTTAAAGCTCTGTGGAATTGATCGGTGCTTTTGTGATGAAATTAACCCAATTAGAGAAAAGTGGATCAATAAGTAAAGTTTCTATTTCGCTGGGAATTCTGATAATTAATTTCCATTTTCGAACTAAGAAGTCGATCACGTTTTTCGCGACGTTTACCTTTTTGCTGTTTGCTAGTGTTGCTAGTATCCAGGAAACTAATTTTGGAAGCTTCATTCAGCGCTGAATTACTTCAACAAACGTAATTATTTCAATATAAGTTCATAAATTATTCTTTCCATTTTTCTATTCTTTTTTCGAAATCAAGTGTTATAAGTTTTGCTTTTTTAAAAAAATTTTCTTTGGTCTGTAGTCTTTTTCATCACACACGCATCAAAAAAAACTATTATACAGAGGCGAAGCTGCTTTTCGCATACATTGAAAACATCCAACCCCGTTCGAACCCTCTTACTTTGTTGCGATTCTCCTTCCCTAGTCTCACGCTACACATGCATGATAAATTGAAACTAAACTGCTATTTGTAATAAAATAGTCTGCGTTAAAATCCTTAGCATTGTCTGTACTTGATAGTTGGTTAATGATCAAAATGAACATATTCAAAATGAACACATTGTATCGCAATAATATTTGCGTCAGAACAGTATTTGCATATTAGGCTGGAAAAAAGAGTTCTTGCTATAACATAGCTAATCAAAGATTGGAAAAGATTAATGAACGCAAGTAAACATAAAAAAAAACACCGATTTTTTTGAAAAAAAAAATCCTAACTTTCGAATTTCAAATTTAAAAAAATAGAGACCAATTAAACTCTTTGGATTTCTAGAACAATTTATAAATGGCGCCGTTTTGATAACTTGAAACCAACTAAAGAAAACTGGATCAAAAGGTACATTTTTTCCGAAACAAATAATCATTCACGTTTTCTCGCACCATTAACACGTTCGTAGTTGGGGAGTTCTATTTAAGTCAACTTCAGCAGGTGAATTTCAATTGAAATCTTAAAGTGCATAAACACCTAAGTGCAATCATAAATGCATCAATAACTATGAATGCCAATCTGTAGTTAAAAGAGGCTTAGACTTTTCCTGAGGAGAAAAAACGAAAAAAAAAATCAGTATGACCTGTAAAAGAAAAGTCTTCACGTCAAAAATTACTCTTAAACACACGCCTTTAAAGCTGTTTGAAATTCTAGAAAAAATTTTGACTGACTTTTTTGATGAAATTAACCCAATTTGGGAAAACTGGATCAATCTGTTATTTTTTCCTGAAAACTGAAGTCCACTTCAAAACTAGAAATCGATCACGTTTTTCGTGACCTTTACAATTTTGCTGTTTGATAGTGGAGTTTACCTTCCTTTTAACAAAGTAAATGAACGGAACTAAAAAAATCTAAATTCAAACAGCGAAAAAAGTGAATTTTAGCAGGAAGATTTTTTTCCTGAAAAAAATAAACAAAAAAAATCATCGCGACCTACATAATTTGAACTACGTACATCGACTCAAAAAATAAAACTCAAAATAACAAATCTTCTGAGACTACGGGATTGATCTGGGTTTACCGTTATGTAACCACTTTACCATCGCCTTTTGTCTTATTTCTTGCCCACGCCCTATATCAGGTATGGAAAGCGCGCTTTAATAATAACGGATATACAAAGATTTTGGACTTATTGCACTAAACTATAGTGGTCTGTTCAATAACATCATCTAGCTTATAAAAATTAACCAAATATTGTGAACTGTCTCTTTTCTTTTGCTAAACAAGAAATGGATGATGGTTTGTTGCTAATTTTGCATCTATAATGGCCTAATTTTGCTTTAGCCACTATCAAAAAACCTCACTCTAAAACAACGAATGAAAGATTGAACTCGATTTTGTAGATCAGTTTCGTAAGCAAATAAACGAATAATACAAGCATTGGTTTCAATTGTTCCCCCTCTAACCATCCATAATTAGTAAATTGCCCGCGTATATTGGTTGTTTCTTAACTAATCCATTGTATAGGAAGGGCGATTGCCCACAACAGCCAACTGACAGTTAAAAAACAGTAATGAAAGCAAGAAGACAGAAAAAACACTGACTTGTTTTTTATTGAAAAACTTCATCTTTCGAATTTTAAAGAAAACAGTATGGCCTTAAAGCTCTGTGAAATTGACCGGTGCTTTTGTGATGAAATTAACCCAATTAGAGAAAACTGGATCAATAAGTTAAATTTCTATTTCGCTGGGAAATCTGATGATTAATTTCCATTTTCGAAATAAGAAGTCGATAGCGTTTTTCGCAACGTTTACCTTTCTGCTGTTTGCTGGTGGAGTTTGCATTCATTTTATTAAAGGTGTTGAAGTAAAGTTTTAAAAAAATCAGAAGTCAAACCGAGCGTGAACAAATTTTGTAATTTTTCCCCTGAAAAACTGTCAAAATAAGTCTGAAGTGTATCGTAAATTTCATTATTTCGTTATTTAATGATACAATTCAGAGGACGCAGTCAGTGCAATAGTTCTTCATTTCTCAATTGCAGTTGAATGAAAATTTGACTCATGAAAGGAGCAAATCAATGTCAAAACAAGAGAGCCTTATGCCCTGCTCGGCCAACTATCAAGAGTTGGAATTTTCATTATGCGACTTAAAATGTTATAATCATTGTAAATGTGGAGGGGTTTTGCGTTCGGTTGTTTTAGGTTTTTGATTTTATCCTTGTTTCAATCTAAATTTGAATAGCAAAAACAAATCAAGGTACAGCTTTTTCAGAAATCCAGTTTTTCCAGGAAACTAATTTTGGAAACTTCATACAGCGCTTAATTACTTCAACAGACGTTATTATTTCAATATAAGTTCGAAAATTATTCTTTCCGTTTTTCTATTCTTTTTTCGAAAACAACTGTTATAAGTTTTGCCGTTTTTAAAAAATTTTCTTTGGTCTGTAGTCTTTTTCATCACACACGCATCGAAAAAAAACTATTATACAGATGCGAAGCTGCTTTTCGCATGCAATAAAAACATCCAACCCCGTTCGAACCCTCTTACTTTGTTGCGATTCTCCTTCCCTAGTCTTACGCTACAGATGCTTGATAATTTGAAACTAAACTGTCATTTGTAATAAAATAGTCTGCGTTAAAATCCTTAGCATTGTCTGTACTTAATAGCTGGTTACTGATCAAAAAGAACATTTTCAAAATGAACACATTTCATCGCAATAATATTTGCGTCACAACAGTAATTGCAAATTAGGCTGGAAAAAAAGAGTTCATGCTATAACATAGCTAATCAAAGATTGGAAAAGATTAATGAACGCAAGTAAACATAAAAAAAACACTGATTTTTTTGAAAAAAAAAAATCCGAACTTTCGAATTTCAAAGAAAAAAAAATAGAGACAATTAAACTTTTTGGATTTCTAGAACAATTTTTTAATGGCGCAGTTTTGATAACTTGAAACCAACTAGAGAAAACTGGATCAAAAGGTACATTATTTCCGAAACAAATAATCATTCACGTTTTTTCGCGCCATTAACACGTTCATAGTTAGGGAGTTCTATTTAAGTCAACTTCAGCAGGTGAATTTCAATTGAAATCTAAAAGTGCATAAACACCTAGGAGCATTCATAAATGCATCAATATGTATGAATGCCAATCTGTAGTTATAAGAGACTTAAGGCTTTTCCTGAGGAAAAAAAACGAAAAAAAAACAAAAAAAATCAGCAAGACCTTTAAAAGAAAAGTCTTCACTACGATAATTACTTTTAAACACACGCCTTTAAAGCTGTTTGAATTTTTAGAAAAATTTATGACTGACTTTTTTGATGAAATTGACTCAATTTAGGAAAACTAGATTAATCTTTTATTTTTTTGCTGAAAACTGAAGTCCACTTCAAAACTAGAAATCGATCACGTTTTTCGTGACCTTTACATATTTGCTGTTTGATAGTGGAGTTTGCCTCCCTTTTAACAAAGTAAGTGAAGGGAACTTAAAAATTCTAAATTCAAACAGCGAAAAAATGAATTTTAGCAGGAAAATTTTTTTTCTTGAAAAAATAAACAAAAAAAATCATCCCGACCTACATAATTTGAACTACGTACATCGACTCAAAAATTAAAACTCAAAATAACAAATCTTCTGAGACTACGGGATTGATCTGGGTTTACCGTTATGTAACCACTTTACCATCGCCTTTTGTCTTATTTCTTGCCCACGCCCTATATCAGGCATGAAAAGCGCGCTTTAATAATAACGGATATACAAAGATTCTGGACTTATTGCACTAAACTATAGATAGTGGTCTGTTCAATAACATCATCTGGCTTATAAAAACTAATCAAATGTAGTGAACTGTCTCTTTTCTTTTGCTAAACAAGAAATGGATAATGGTTTGTTGCTAATTTTGCATCTATAATGGCCTAATTTTGCTTTAGCCACTATCAAAAAAACTCACACTAAAACAACGAATGAAAGATTAAACTCGATTTTTGTAGATCAGTTTCGTAAACAAATACGCGAATAATACAAGCATTGGTTTCAATTGTTCCCCCTCTAACCATCCATAATTAGTAAATTGCCCGCGTAAATTGGTTCTTTCTTAACTAATCCATTGTATTTTGATAAGGAAGGGCAATTGCCCACAGCAGCCAACTGACAGTTGAAAAAGAGTAATGAAAGCAAGGAGACAGAAAAAACACTGACTTGTTTTTTATTGAAAAACTTCAACTTTCGAATTTTAAAGAAAACAGTATGGCCTTAAAGCTCTGTGAAATTGACCGGTGCTTTTGTGATGAAATTAACCCAATTAGAGAAAACTGGATCAATAAGTAAAGTTTCTATTTCGCTGGGGAATCTGATAATTAATTTCCATTTTCGAAATAAGAAGTCGATCACGTTTTTCGCGACGTTTACCTTTTTGCTGTTTGCTAGTGTAGTTTGCATTCATTTTATTAAAGGTGTTGAAGTAAAGTTAAAAAAATCAGAAGTCAAACCAAACCGAGCGTGAACAAATTTTCCTAAAAAAAAAAGAAAATCACCAAGACCTATACAAGAGTACTCGCTACGTTCATTACTCTTAAAATGCCCAAATATATGAAAAAGGTTCGAGATATCTGCTAGAAAAGCGTGAGCACAGGGAACCAGTGTTGTTTCAGTTGGTAAATATGAACGTTAATTTATAGCACGAGATGTTCAATTACGACTCTTCATGAACTGTAACTTTTAAAGGGTTCAAGTAAGCGCTGCTAGCTAGCATGTTTGCATGAGCGTGACATATATGAGGGAAAACATCATTAAATAGCGAACGAACTATGACATGAAACGATCAAATTTTAACCTTCATTGCGATGGAAATATTTGGGGATAGTGGTTAAATACACTAATCTATCTATATTTTAACAAGTTAACACATGAATACCGATTTTTTACTTGAGCCTAGTACTAGTCTAACTACATCTTACTACAAATGTCAAATTGATAATAACATGAGTCAATTAGTTTGAGAACCGGACAGTCTCTTCTCTTCTCTTCCAGTTTGCATTGATTCCTTCTCTACTTAGTGAGCGTCTACCATTGTCCATTCCAGTTATCACTTTTATCCCAGTGTCTTAAGTTTCTAGTGTGGGGCAGATGAAATGGAGCAGGTCATGCGGTGGAATCGGGCTTTGCATTTGGGGGGTGTTCTGTTCAGTTGAGGTGGAATCCCTGCTGGCTGAAGGCGGAGATGAGTCTCTCCTTCATGATCTCCTCGGAGGAGTAGTCGGGCAGTTTGAGGTAATGGACACAAGTGTTCACACTGGGATACACGCCCTTGTCAGTTGAGGCGGCATTTGAGTCCACTTTACGCACCACTGTGAGAGGGGGCTGCAATGCGGCCAGGCCTCCGGGAGGCAGACTGCTGCAGCCGGTGGCGAACTGGAGGAACTGTTTGCGCTCCCGCTGACTCAGACTGGACAGTACAGAAGCGAAGAACTGGAAGCCACGACTGAAACAACGCAAAAACAAATGATACAAACGATGTCTCAAATTTATTCAAGTCTTTCATTACAATTTAAAAAGACAAAGCATATTAAAGGCAATAAAAGCCCAAAAAAAACTTCGAATTTCTAGAATAATTTATGATTTACACTTTTAAAATAAAATTAACCCAGAGATAACCCATTGAGAAACATAGATCAACGGATAATTTTTTCTTTCAGTCGGAAAACCATATAATTAAAATCCACTTTCTAGAAGTCGATCACGTTTTTTGTGACCTTAACACTTTTGCTGTTCAATAATGGAGTTTGCCTTCCTTTTTACAAAGGAAATGAACTGAACTTAATATTAAAGCAAATGCCAAACCGCGAAAAATCAAATTTGAGCCTGAACAAATTATATTTTCCAGCAAAAAATCATCACGACCTATATTCACTACGTTCATTGAAACTTTTAAATTCGTACAGCATTGCAAAACCAACTCATTTTTCTCATGACTTACATTTCAGCGATTTACCGTGATATATGTATGAGTATTAGAAACCTGGTCTGATTTACATGTTAGATTGTTTAATATCAAAAAATATATATTAACTTCATCTACCTGTCTCTTGTGAATCCTAGTTTGGGCTGACAGTGGTTGACGACGTCTTCTCTAGTCCACTGCAACTTCTGCTCCCCACACAACATCAACTTCAACTCCTCAGCAGACAGAACTCCAGACACCCTGCTGACGTCACACACTGTGCGCAACCCACTCAGCAGCTGAGTCATCTGTCTCTTGATTCCATGACAAAACACGAACTCAGTATAGGCCTTGATATACTGTTCCACATTGTCCATAGACAGAATAATTTCAGTGCCTCCATCGACCAGACCAACTTCTGTGAAGCCATACACAGAGGAGGACGCAGAATATGAAAAACATATGCTAGAACAAAAACAGATTGAAAGGGTACTGGTTTTCGTGATTTGCAAAATATTGCTCTATGTTTTCACGGTAAACAGCCTTAATTCTAACTGGTTGTTAATACTTGTCAGAACTCCTTGCTGATTCGTTTCACTGCAGAAATCAGCTGAAAATCTTGTCGAAAACGTGATATTTTAAACTATGTCGGCTCCGTATTAAGGAAAACAACGAGAGTACATTTTTGGTAGATTTTTTGTTTTTACATTTAAAATCTCTCAAAAATAGAACGCGTAATTGAGAAATTTGTTCCAAGTAAACGCTTTCTACTTCAGCTACTTCCGGTCAAATATTTCTTTCTACCGATTTCATGAATCAGCTTACCCTAGATGCTCCAATTTGATCTCAGCATCTCCATGTTTGAACTTGAGCTGTTCAATCATCTGTTGTTTCTGCTCCTCATTCAATGTGGCATCTTCCATAATGTGTCTCTTTTCAGCAGCCAGTCTTTGCAGCTGGCCGATGAACTTGGCCACGTGATCGCTCACTGTGCTCTCCAGAAGAGAACACACAACTGATTCACTCTCAACCTCACTCAGCAGCCACTTCTCCACTTCGCTCATGTCTGGCTTGGCATCCTGGGGAATCTAACAAGGGAGCAAAATAGTCATCGTAACAACCACATCCACCGCAAATCCAGAGTCGAATTCGAGCAATTTTGTTTAATGAACATGGCCAACAGACAGTTGGAAGAGTCATGAACTCAAGGAAACAGAAAAAATATTGACTTGTTTTTCGAGCAATCCAATTTCAAAAACAAACATTCATGGCCGTAAAGCTCTTTGAATTTCAAGAACAATTCATGATTGACACTTTTATTTATAAAATTAACCCAATTTGAGAAAAACTGATCAAAGCATTTTTTATTTCGCTGGAAAATCTGGAAATGAAAATCCATTCTCGAAACAAGAAGCCGTTCACGTATTTTCGCGACATTTCCACTTTCGAAATGAAAGAGTGCAATTTACCTAACTTTGAACAGAGGCGAAGCTGTGCTTCGCAAACACTTGCGAGAACAAGACCAAAAAGCAGCTCTATCAAGTGACATAAGAAAAAAATATAAATTAGCCTCGAATTTGCAAAAACTCGGGGCTTAGCAAAAACTCGAATTAGCAAAAATCTGCGACCTAGCAATTTTGATTTTCAAAAACTAGCCACCAATAATGCAGCTGCATATGCTAATGAATTGCCAATTTGATTCAGCAAAGTAGCATCAGATACAAAAAGATACAATTCTGCGTGTAAAAAAATCGCAAATCATAAAGCCCCATTATGTATAAGTCACGTATTTCAAAAAATTGCTTTTTTCGGTTCATTTGATGAATTAAAAATGCATCAACTGTGTTAATTTAATACTATTCGAATGTCAAAGCACATGCTATCAAAAAGCTGTAAAGGTGCCACATCATTATTGGGGTGCCGCAACAATAATTGCGATTTAGTCGCAACAATATTTGCGATTTAGGTTGGTAAAAAAAAGAAAGTTCGTACTATAACACATTGCTTTGCAAGTGTAAACAGATGCATTTGAATTGATCCCAAAAGACTATAAATTACACGGGACACCCCATCTGGTCCAATCTGACACTTGATACATTGCACAGTGCTTCTTACGACCGATATTAATCGCGTAAATTACTTATATCTGACCTGGGTCGAGACAAGCAGCTGCAGCACGTGGTTGTTGATGGGCAAGTCGATCTTCCTGCCATCTTGCAGCACCTTGCCGAACAACGCCCCCATGAAGAAGAACACTTTCTCCACCCGCTTGATATCCACTTGTGGCGCATAAGGAGCAGGGAACAGTCCTCTGTCCTTGTTCCACACTTTGTCTATCGCTTTCTTCTCTTCGAGTTCTCCGATGTTTTCTGCTTCTTTCCTTGGTTCCTCGTCATCGCACAGCCAGATTGCCAGACTCTTCTTCTGCAGCTCCACCCCAATCAGAGAGTAGAACTCGAGGGTGGGACCCAACCCAGTTCCTTCCTCTCCCTCAAACTCAATCTGCACAGCAATAACAACAGAAGACACAGTTAAAACTGCAACAGAGCACGGAACAGCAAACATTTTAACAGCTTGAGATTTTGAAATTTCTTTGATTTGAAAAAGTAGTTTAGCCCATTGAAATTTGCGTATCTCATAGTTTAAGACAACATCTACCTCTAGCATGGATTTTCTGTCAGCGTGCACTTTCATGATCACCATTGCTCTGTCTAGAATCTCACTGTCTCTTGTCACTCTGACCCTCTCGTGCTTCAGCCTCCCCACTCTATACTCCATTGAGTCATCGCTGCCTCCCGCTGCCGACGAAGTGGTCCTCCTCATTCCCCCAGATCCACTAGCGGAAGCAGAAGCATTTTCCAGCGCAGTGTCTAGTCTGTCCTGCAACCAGGTTATCGCCCTGGCTGTGCCAAAAGCAGTTGCCAAAAGGTACGCCTGTCTCGTTTCTAACGGCAGTAGAGCCCGGCAGGTGTGCATGACTGTGGGGAGCCAGTGGGGGAGAGCGTTTCCACATAGAGCCAATGCGTCTTGTAGTTGCTGTTCTACTTTGCGGGTGAGTTTCTGCGAGACGAACTCTTCGTTCAGTCGAGGTACAGTCCACTCATCCAATTGCTCCAGGTTGCCTCCTTCATCCCCAGAGAGATCGAACATCTGAAACGTTTGTGACTCTTCATTTCCCTTGAAAGTGATCTTACTTATTGGAGCACTTACTCGACCCCCTACTTAAAATTGACGGTACTGATTCCGCTCTCAAAAACAATTTCAGCTATATTGAGTGAAGTGTAGGTTATTCATATAAACTTACAGATTCGTTGTCATTGCCGTCCTCTGCCATCTTATTCCAGACATCTTTGGACACTGTGTGCAGGAGAGAGACTAGCTGCATCAACCCGTCAACTTCTTGAGTTTTACACGCTTCCGGGCTTCTACTTACATTGTTATGTGGCACCTTCGCAATTAACTCCTGAAAAAAAATATTTATTTTGAGATTAGCAAACGTTATTAAGGGGGCTATTCTCATGCGCGAAGGACCGAATGAGCCAAAAAAACTCGTGAGCGAAAGACCGAGAACGAAATTAGCCGAAAGTCAATTTTCAAAACGAAACAATTGCCATTCAATTAAAATGAATTAAATGAAGCAATATTTTGCTTCTTTCATAACGAAACCCTCGAAATATAAAATTTATTCCAATTAGGCGGCGGTCAGTGACAATTTGAAAATTTTGCATATTTCTGCCGTTTTTATATTCGGCGAATATCAATATCCAGTCAATGTAAATGATTACTTTCTTTCCAAATTTTAGATTACTGAAATCTAATTGCCTGATTTTTATTTTCGCGCATTCGGTCCTTCGCGTATGAGGAATTCCACTCTACTAGGTTTGTTTCTGTTCACAAGTTGTTTTTTTTTTTATTTGCCCCCGGCCTGCTCAGTGCAGGACCAACCGTGGGGGAGGGGGAGATGTCATCCATTTTGCCGCAGCCGGTCCCACCTTGAGGAGGCGGATGACACTGGGACCCCTCCAGCCGTGACCGAAGCGGGATTCGAACGCATAACCCTCGTGTTAAGAGAGATGTGCCTAACCCACTTGACCACGACTGCTCGACAAGGTTCACAAGTTGTCGAACCTACTGCTTCCCTGATAATCCGAAAAGCTAGTTTGCAATAAAAGGGCCCGGCGGGATTCGAAGCGCAAATCTTTGCCATCTCAAGCTGTTGTTGATGCGCCGAATAGTTGATTCGATTCGAATTTACAATTTTCAAGCGATAACAAACCCGAAAATACCTGAGCATAAGCCCTTCATGCCGACAAAAATTCAAAACTTATAAAAATGTTAAGTCCCCTTTTCCCTCAGAGCACACACACACTCACAAAAACGTGAAAAGCAAATTTCGATTCGGCCGGATTTCTAAAATGCTAAAAGGAACTGCAGTGAGAACTGTTTACAGCTAAAATAAACGATTCTTAGATGTGGCTTAGCCGACAAAACATAAGCTGACAAATAATAGGACGAAAGTTTTGTGATCCCGAATATTTACCGTTTGAAAAAATTGGTCCTGGTCAGATTCGAACTCAGGAACTTTGCCGTCCCAGGCGTATTCTTTGCCACCAGGCTAAGTGTACACGAGACTCTACAAAATTTGAATTCATTATGAACCAAGGAAGGTACAACCAGGAGTCCAATGAGTCTGGGGACAAAATTGTTTACGGGAAAAAGTCTAGCACCCGATTATAATACCCTTGCTATCGCAAGAGTAATTATTAACAGAAGCTCATTGAACAATTTTGGGCCGTATAACAGAAAAGACTCCTCGTTCCTTCACCAATTAACGATACCGACTTTCTCTACTACTTTCTCACATTCTTTTTTTTTAAAAACCAGATTGTACAGCGCGCGCATTTATTTAAGCAAAGAATGTGCGTAATGTTGAAAAACTTCCCCTAAAACCTGTGACCTTGATTGGAAAAGTCACTGATCGCATAACAAACCGCTCGCTAAGTCACTTTTGTGAAATCAGCTATATGACTCAATCATGAGACTTTCTTTGTTTACTTATTGCATTCTTGCGCTTGCGTTTAGAACATTTGGAAGTTTCATGAAAGCAAATGATGAAGCAGTTTGTGATCACTGAAATAAATTTTAAACTGATAATGAAAAATGTTCCTAGTATTGAGTTCGAGTCACAAAAAAGATTAAATACAGAGAAGCTAGGGGACCATGATCAGCTTTCGAAGCTCACGCATGGATTCCAGTAAAAATTCAGAATTAGAAGATTCAAAGAGATAGAGGCTCCGCGCAAGCTATGTAACTTAATAGAACAATGCGAATGTGCGGAACATTATACCGAAAAAACTGCAACACATCAAAGAAATCATCCATTAAAAAATTATATCCGAAATAGTGCGTTTGAAACTTTCAAATTACTTATTAGATAACGCGTTAGGCTACAGCAAACAAATTTTAGGTGTCTTTCAGATTCAATTGAGACTTTCTCACAGCAAGGTTAAGACATATTACCTTGTACGTGGTCAAAATATGTTGTTTTACTCGGTCACCGGAGGATCCCGCGCTGACGTCCACCGCTGAGCGCAGTACATCGTCTTCAGCATTCTGCGAATTAACTGTTTCCTTGTCCTCGCTCCCTTCCCGTTTAATGTCTTCTGAATGAGACAGAGTCACACCCTGCTTCTCTAGGAAACTCTTCACTTCTTCATTCGATACGGTTTCCTTCTCCACGTCTTCCACGCTCCATGGCGGCATTTCTTCATCTTCCATGTATTCTATCCTAATCAAAACAGTACCCTTTAAAGACTCTTCACTCTACCAGATCATTAACTTGTAACTATTTCAAATCGCGTAAAGTAATTTCAAACAAATCAGGCTGCACTTCATATCCACTAAATTTTCTGATAGCCCTTGACTTTCAATATAATCGTAAGCATACTAGTGCTTCAAACCAATCTTACACGTAAGTGATATCCCACATTCTTCGTCCAGTCACACTTGGAGGACTGTTGACACTTTTGCTATTGTTGCCATTCATAACACTCATCAAGTGCAGTCTCTGCACACAACTGATCAAAGTCTCCTCTCTCTGTCTCACACTAGTCTCCACAGCCGCCCCCACCCCTCCAGTCAGTTCTAGCCTCAACACCTGCCTCTCACTCCCACTCTCAGCTGCAGATGAGTCAGAAGGGTTCTGTTGCAGTTTGAGGAACAGACGCAGTCGCTTCACTTCACTGTCGGCCGCCACAGCTGCTCTGCTCTGCTGAGGCGCAGCAGTGCTCGAATCCTGACTGGACGATTGAACTAGTCCGGTTCCATTGCTCACACTTGCAGGCTGAAACATCCAACAAACCGAAATATAATTGATTCTTCTCTATCCATAAGAAAAACAGACTAATAACTTGATCAATGTTCCATTATCTTAATCTCACCAAAAACAATTTGAGAATCAATCCAGTGTCTGCTTTTACCCATTCAAACCAAAATATCAGATTCGGGAGGGTAATTTTTGAGGAGTTTCAAAAACCAAAAGAATCTGCATATCCGATAAAAACAATCACAGATAAATTAAAAAAATAAATAAATATACGCAACGGTAAGCGCTAGATCACAGCAAAAAAAAACGAAAAAAAAACGCACAATGGAAAAAAAACATGATAAGTTTTTCAAAAATTTCGGCCAGAAAGAACCACACGCCTAAGTTTCGTGCAGAACTGCCGCCACATTCTTTCTTTTGTAGACATTGTAGACTGGAAATTTATCAAATTTTTGACAAACTGAAACAATACGTTAAACAATCAACTTGAATCGATTTCAAATAAAAATGCTAAAAACTAAAACACTCCTAACTATTTAAAACTAAAACTAGTTTCATGCTTTTTCAGAACAAAAAAAATCAGAAACCATGCATCCGCAAAAAAAACTGAAAATTTATTTGCAAAAAAATGAAAAATTTCGAGCAGAAAAATTCGAAAAAAGTTTCATTTTGGCGCCTATAAAAACCAGAAAACTATGAAATATATTTACCTTCATGAAGATGAAGAAAAAAGCATCGAAAAATCTACAAAAAATTACAGAATTAATTACCCGGCAAGCAAGCCGACAAAAAAATGGGTCGAAATCAATACAGTTGACAAAAAATCAACTTACATCTAAAATATTTTCAGCTGTAAAACAATTACCACATTCGAAGCCAGATTTTGAATTACAGCTGTTAGACGTGCATCTTAAGTAGAAACAGAGAATAGAGATACATTTGGAGATGACAAAAATTCAGTCATCCTGTGGACAAAGTTGTTTACAGGAAAAAAAGTCTAGTACCCGATTGTAATACCCTTGCTTATCGAAGGGTAAACAAAAAAAACCCCAATCCCATGCATTTTCATAACACCTGTTTTTATCAAACAGTAATTTGATTTTAGATAATTTTGAAAAAAATTTTGAAATATCCCACCGTGAGCGAGGAATTCTCGACCACAAAATCGACGTTGGCCGGCAAATTAGTACGACCGGGACGAGGATCGAATGCTGGAACAAAGGCGGGGAATGCCCTTTTGAGGATGATCTCATCATTAGTGTTTTCATTCGGCTGGCTGGAGTGAGTGGCGGGAGGGTGGGCTGAGTGGTTCTGGTGATGTCTCCAGTGTTCGCCTCTTCGTCTTCTCAGCATGCCAGTGTAGTCTTTCGTAACATTCATTGTTCGCATGGAGGTGCAGTTCTCACTACCTGGGATTTTGGACTTGGAGTTAGCTTTGCTCACAGATCCGTTCGGAGGAACTCCGTGCGAAGACTTTTTAGACGTGAATCTGTGCATAGCCGAATGCGCAGTAGCTGAACGCTGACTGGCTGCCTGCATTTTTGCATCATCTTTGAAAACAAAACTCTATTTAATTGATTAAGAAACACTTTCAGAAAAAGCAGCAAATCACATACACGAAAAAATCAGACACTTGATAGCAAGTCCATCGAAACACACATAAATCACGTATTGTTCTATACAACAGCAGAAATAGAGTACTTCCAGAGTATATGAATTTCGCTTTGATTATTTTTCCAACTAGTTTAGTTTACTGACATACATGTAACCAAATATTTTCAAAGAAAACAAAAACCTTGTTTGAAACAGTAGACTGTTTTCTTCTATTATGCGACTATATTTTAAATAGATATGCTCCGCTTAGAATATCAAAAACCAGGAAACGAAACGTTGACTGCCCCTGGTTGTGCAATCGTATAAAAAACTTAAAATTCAAGCGTAACAGACTTCATAAAGCTTGATCGAAAAACAGAAGTAACTTTAGAGCAAGATTTCCTTTTGCCAGGAGTAAAGTTGAAATTGAAATTAAGAAATGTAAAAAAAAGTTTTACTATAATTAAATCAAAAACTGTATTGGTGACTCAAGGAAAGTATACAAATTACTAAATTATTTAAAGGGGTATGAAAAATACATCAAGTAGAACAATAGTTTCGGTAAATGGAAGTAGTGGCGACGTTGTTAGCGAAAAACCAGCTAAGGTATTGCAAAAGAGTTCAATAACTTTTTTCTTCTATTGGCAGTCATTTAGCTAATCAAATACCTAATTTAGAACCCGATCAACTTTATTCAGAGCCTCGTTTTTGCATGCGTTTAAATTCAACCATTGAATATGAAAATGAAGTCATTCTTTAAGCGCTACAGAACAAATTATCTTCTGGAATAGACATAATTAGTAATCTACTTGCTAAAGCTATTTCATTCGCATTTGTTCCCTTCTTGAAAAAACTCATTGAACTATCCTTTAAATCAGGATGCTTTCCTACCGCTATGGCTCAAGCGGTAGTATATCCTTTATATGAAGCAGGATCGAAATTGGATGTCAGTAACTATCGACCAATATCACTTCTTGCAGAAATTATGAGTTGCACAAATTATGAGTGATGAATTTGAACTATTTTCTTATTTAATTTGGTTTTATACCGACTACGATTGAACAATCATTTTAAATATTGATGCAGAGCTCGGAACTTATGTCATTAACCTGTCTAGACAATCCATAAATCTGCTGCTTTATGTTCATTCAAACTTTAGTATTTTTTTCTCCAATATTTTCTTTTATGTTTTCAGATTTATAATATTTTCCTTTTCTTTAAAATCTCAAATTTCCTATTTCATTTGATAAAACGGGCAGTGCTCTGTAACCCAATTAGATTCGTTAAATGTCCGCTCACTGTTTCTGGTGCTTCATGTTTAAATTATCGTTATATGCATATTTACCATTAACAATAATAAAAAAAACTCTTCTTCGTCTTCTTCTATTACTTCTATTACGCTCGTAGACCTTCTTCTATTACGCTCAGGTGCGGCAAGCATATTTGCTTTTCAACCAAAGCGATTCAAAAAATTAGGCAGATGAATTCATTTGTTTGGATACAATATTTTTTCATATGCTGATGTTTACACATGTCTAAATATACCTTTCTGGCCAGAAACTGCTTCCGATCGCATATGTGCCGCCTCCCCGTACATATCTTCTTCATCCTCTTCCTCGTCATCCAAATCATCGTCAAGCTCATCCTCTTCGTCGTCTTCATCGTCCTCATCCTGCTCGTCCTGATCCTGATTGATTAGGTCCTCGTCTTCCTCATCTTCCTCCAGATCCTCATCATCGTCATCTTCTTCTTCTTCTTCCTCTTCTTCGTTGTCGCGTATCTCGTCGTCTATCTCCTCGTCTTCCTCGACGTCCTCATCTTCGTCATCTTCCTCTATCTCGTCCACATCCTGGAATGAAACATGGGCACAATGAGCACGCACTACAAGACATTTTTGTCGAAAAGCAAACAAATTGGGTGCTTCGAACTGAAATTAAACATAGATCGACATCAACGCCAATGGCATGTCAGAACCACACTACTACGTTCCATTACATAATTTAATAGCAATCCTCCCTATATAAAGATAAAATGTTACAACAACGCTATATTTATCCCGATTCCAATAAGCGCCACTAAGTCACTATTTCAACATTTCAAAAAAAAAACTGCTCCGATATCACTGTTGCTGAATTTTGTGAAAGGTAAATTGCATGTAGCATCCAATCCGGTGAAAACAGCGGACTTTGTAAAATTATCGGACACTTCGAAACGCCGTCTTATTGCAACGGATATAAATTAATTTATTGGACAGAGGCGAAGCTGCACTTCCAAAACAAACAGGCAAAGGGGAGCTTTCAAACGCAAATTTAAAATAAATAAGCTGTGTTAAGCAAAAAGAATTTGCCCCCAAGGGCGCTCGAATCGACCGTCTTCAGAGTTATAATCTAATAGTTTAAAAATGGTACCATAGCACCTTACTGTTCTCCAAACACCAGCTCCCAATGAAGGAATAAAACAAACGCTTAATTTTTGACAAATAGAATCAGAGCAATACATAGATACTAAAAATGAGCACTTTTGTTGAGCTCCACGAGTTAGGGTTGTAAAATGCACTCGTAACATGACAGGCGTTTGCTCGAAGTCAATATGCCAGTTTAAAGATGTTCCGCCAACCAACCAGTAAAAACAATCAAGGAAGTTATGATTAGTAGCAAATCGCAACTCGGTTAATGTAATAATGCCAGCTGAAAATCGAATAACAGTAGATCGAAGTAGTTAATATTATCTAGTAAACAGCTGAGTGAAGGTGTAGTGTAGTGTATGTGCTCCACTCCACGCGTGAGTCCGGCATTAGATCAATTCAAATATTTTTTCTGTCACCTCGCTTCAGGTTTTCGCTCCGAGAGTCTCCGAACACTGTCGTTGTTGAGTGAACTATTTTTCACTTTGTCGTCCGATGTCTCCATGTTCTCGTCCTCCTTAGCTGAAAAGCTGAAGTGGCGACAACGCCCACTTGACGTTTTCAACGTCATCACACGCTGAATCTTCAAACAATCGCGGACCAAAATTTGAACACCGGCTCCGTGATCATTTTGCTTAGATGTTTTACTAGTCTGCCGATTGTTCCCTTTATATTTCTCATCTTCGTTTTCTTCATTATTTTTTTGTCGGCTGAGCATTTTCAGCCTCTTCATTTTGGTCAGATTCTTCTTCGTTGTCTTCGTCATCTTCATCTTCGACCGTTTCATCCATTCTTTCGGATGTTTCATCCAGCTCTGATTGCTCATTTGATTTTTGAATGTCACCGTCAATGGCTTCAGCGGAATCCGCTTCATTCTGCGAGGGTAATGGGAGAATGTTTTTAGTACATAGCCTTCCTTTAACTTAAAACTAAAGGCCTGTTTATTCCCTAACTTTTTCGTGATGCAGTCTCCAATTAATCCTACATGATCGGATAACCGCCATAAAGCAAAAACTCAGCTAATCGAAAATAATATTAAATGAATTGCACATGCAAAATTCGACAGATTTTAACTGCATTTTTATCAGATATTCAAAAAACTCTCGTAGAAAAAAGAATAAATCCTCGGCCAGATGTTTTATATCATGATGTCCAGGATAAAATTATGTTTGTTTATCAGACAAGATGCACTAACGGGTGGTAGAATATCCTCGTCTACCACACTTCTCGAGGAGTGTCTCGGCCTCTGCTCGTCTATGTTCATGTTCGGTTCGTCCAGGGGAGTCGTGGTGGATGAGATCACGTGTAGCTCCGAATCCACATCATCATCTTCCTCTTGGTCCATGTCAATGGGTGTGTCATCTCGCACGCCCCTCTCGTTCTCTGCCTCCGGGTGACTGCAGGCCGGGCGAGTGTGGGGAGGACACTGGACTGATGCACTGGCACTGATGCGATCTGAAAGACTCATCACGTGACTGGGATCAAATGAAGAGCCTCTTGGACTGTGCATGTGGAGGAAGTCTCTATACATGGAGGCGTCTTGGTCATCCATGTCGTTCTCTATATCCTCGATGTCCAAACAGATCCCACTTCCAGCGTCCAAGGCTCTGCCCATTCCTGAAACGCTAATATCTCTAACTTTTTATATATTTTTAAGCACGCGAGATCAAAAATCTTTTTAATTGATTGAATGATCATTATCATAGAGGCGAAGCGGATCTTCGCATCACATGCGTTATAAAACAAACAAAGCATTACAATCTAGCAGACAGGAAACTAAAGGAACGCCAATAAGTTGAAATTTAACAATTTGGAAAGATAACAAAAATAACAAAACATAATTTCTTGAATAATATTCAATTTGAGGAAAACACTTCCAGAAAAACAATTTCTGGCGTTGAATAACTATTCAGAACTATCTATCGACTATCAACTAACCGACAAAAACTTCGCCAAATACAAGATTCTAAAACCGATTTAAAAAACCGATAAACATAAGATAAAAACCTATTGTTTCTTCCCAACAACGCAAAATTAGGTCACTTAACCGATAAAACAAGCCAAATCAATTGAATACTAATAAAGCTTTTGGCTAAAAAAACAGAATAGATCGAAAACAATTTCAACGCAGAGGCGAAGCGGAGCTTCTCATCACTTGCAATACAACAAAAGCTACCATTGAAAGCTACCAAAAAACTAACAATTCAATCTCAGAAAAACAGACGAGAAAACCTACCACTAGCATTAAGCAAGCTTTTAGTACTTTCCGAGCGTTCACTAGGCCGCCATTACGTACTAAGCTCTAATTGACCCGAAAACAAAAAAAAAAAGAAAATTAGTGTAATTGAAAAAATTTTGAGCGATTAAAAGTTCGAATTTTAACTTTTATACTACCATTTAACTTGATTTAACCAAAGTAAGAAAAACTATTTTTTCCCTAAGCCGATGCAAAAGAAGCTAACTAAACCGACGAAACATCAGCCGAAATCGATTTGGCCGAAAAAAATTCTAAGCGGAAAAAACACCAAAATATTCAAAATACACCAGTCAGGGATAGTGAATTTAATCAACGATACTTGGAACTGAAATGAATACTTCTTACAGCGCAAAAAATAGGTAGTAAGGCAATTTAGGAGACAAAATAAGCTGAAAAACTATAGTCTGACTTTTCAATTTTTCCCGGAAAACATTCAATTTCATACATTGAAAAAAGAGAGTCCGACCGGGACTCAAAATCCATACCATTACCTCCAGGTGAAGAGAGAAGGAGCCTGAAAATTGCTAAGAAACCATAATAAAGTAACATCTATTTCAATCACAAATGTGTAAGAAAACTTGTTTACGAGAAAAAAAGTCTAGTTCCCGATTACAAAACACTTGCGTTCGCAAACGTAATTACAATGGTTAATGCTTACAGCACAGGAAAAATCCGTGATGAGACAACTAAATCTTTGTAAGACAACTAACAAAACATATTAGACAAACAGTAGGCAGACAATTTTTTGGAAACAAAACTTCCAAATTCAAAATAACAGGTCTTGACCATATTCAAACCTAGGAACTTTCTAAGAGATCTCGTCAACCAAATAAAAAAATTTCGGCCGAGAAACAGCATAGAAACTACATAGAAAACAGCAACAAGCAGTTGGAAAGTGTTAATGCCCTCAAGACAAAAGAGACCGAAAAAGATCTTTCGAGTATAAAAAAGAAAAATATTTCACCGTTAAGCTCGATTTTCAAAAACCTTCTATGATTGATATTTTTTTATCGAATAAACCAACCCAATTTAAGAACATAGCCAACATTTATATGGTAAAAATTTATGAACGTAAGGAAATAGAAAAGTAACTTGATTTTTGAAAAACTTCAAATTCGAATTTTAAAGAAAAATATATGCCCTTAAAGCTCTGTGAATTTCACGAAAAATCTATGATTGGAGCTTTTTTCATAAAATTAACCCAATTAGAGAAAACTGGATCAAAATTTCTATTTCGTTGGGAAATCTGTAAATTAATTTCCACTTTCGACACTAGAACTCGATCGTTTTTTCCGTGCCCTTTATACTTTTGTTGTTTGACAGTGGAGTTTGCCTTCCTTTTAGCGTGCGAACAAATTTGGCCTTTTCCTGAAAAAAAAACAAAAAATACACCAAGACCTTTATCAGAGTATTCCTTACGTTAATGAATCTTAAACACTTGATCGGATATATTTTTTTTACAAAGAAGCGAAGTGTAGCTTCGCTTCACTAGAAATAATAGACAAACGTTAAAAAGACGGCTAGCACACGTGAAATAAGACAGAAGTCAATATGCCTTTAAAAAGTTTTTAGAAAAAACACATCTTCAAAACTTCACAGATGTCGAAAATTCCACTCATTCGGTGAAATTGAATTGAATGAAGGATGGTAAATTAACAACATGCCTGTCGAGTTGAAAATTTTTTCTTTGTCAGCCGCGCTGTTCTCTCGAGAAAATGAGTTCCCTCGTGCAGAGTCGTTCAGCACTTTAGCATTAACATCACTCGGGTTTTCTCTGGATGCCATCACGCTCGTGGATCCTAGTTCTGCTGCAGTCGGAAACTCTTCGACAAACTCCTCGTCAATCTCAGAAAAGAAGTCACTCATGGATTTGGCATCAATGAGAGGAAAACTTCCGTCTCCCGCACCGCTGTTGCTGCTATCTATGAACCGATTTCTGCTCCTATCTCTGCTTCCCTCTACGGAAGAAGGCTGTTCCATGTCCGAGTCACTGGATCCGAATCTATGTAGTCGTCCATTGCCTCCTGGTACAGTCCCGCCTCCAGACATATGGGATCCGAGGGCTGCTTTGCGATAAGACATGGTGGTTGAGGGGTTGACTTGGGCAGTGGTGGTGGATTTGGTCACCGAGAGGCTTGGGAATGACTGGGTAGTTTGGCTGACTAAATTTGTCAGGAAGTACATGTCCGAGCTCTGGGTGGATGCAGGCACTCCAGACACTAAAAACAAATGTTCGTTCGCTTTGATTCAAGGCGCTTCAAAAATTCTCATTACTGATGCCCATTTACATAATTAAAGCGCCTGATTCCTCAAAAAATGGGTTCCCAGCACTTTCATTACCAGCTACTAACTTGTATTAGGCTTTGCAGCTGCGGGGTTAGAGGCAACACTCGTTATGTTACTCAGTCCACAGCTGTTCAGACTGTCCCATTGGATTCCCCTGGTCACATCACTCGCACTGACTGCGTTTAAAGTCATAGCTCCTCCCGCTCCATGCTCTAGTCCCGATTCTAATACTGCATTTCCTTCGCCACCTACTGCTTGAGCTGATCCACTAGACGTCAGATTTGGGACACTCAGACTGATCAAGTTAGCGCCGCCCACCCCTACTCCGCTCACAGGGTTGTTTCCTGGGGAAGTTGCTAGAGAACCAGCAGATGGCGTCATCATTTCCGTCTCCGATGCGACTATTTGTTCTGTCAGTTCAGATGCTAGATTAGGACAGCCAAAAATGCTGCTTCCACTTTTCGATCCATCGTCTAAACCCAACACAAACTACAATTAACAAAAGGTAGAAACCTAACGCAATATTATAACAAGGATAGCCGGTTAAATTTGTTTTCAAATTAAAGTCGATTTTTTTCTCCGTGGTTTGATAAAATGATCTGAATAAAAAATACTACAGCGTAGCCATATTGTACAGTCATAGTAAAATAGGCAAATTGTGAAGTTTTTTAATGGCGTTAAAAAAGTCCAAAAACTAGTTTTACTCGAGTAAAACTAAAATTTAACATAAATAAGCAATTTTAAACAGCCTAAGTTAAGCTAATTAGCATGCTCGCTCGCTTTACTCGCTCTAAATTACACGAAAAATTAAAACCGATTTTTGCCGACACTTGGATTTGTTTTTTGAAATTTTTCATGTCGTTCGAATTACAACTAAAAAGGCATATATCACTCGAACCATCCGATGATTATTTTTGGTAACTGATTTTTCGTAAGAAAAAAGGAAAAAAAAATCCCAATACCAAGCTCCTCCCCATTTTCAATAGTCGGAACATATATCTGAACAAATGAATGGATATGAAAAAAAACATACTCAATGTCTGAAGACTTAGGCAGCTCTGTTCTGCTGAGAGCTCAAGGAGATTAATCTTTTTGAAGCTTTTTAAGCTGAAAAACGTCTAGTCCTGGAAGAGCTTCAGCCGAGTCGAAAACCAAGAAGCCGAAAAAACATCAGCAAAAAAATTATATTTAAGGTCTTTCGATATACATAACATACAATGATTAAAAAATTAGATATTACACTTTAAATTGGTCATTGGACATATTGAAATTGGTCATTAAAAAAACTGAAAACTAGCCGACAAGAATTGAGACAAAGATCAAACCCAAAAAAATAGAAAACTTTTATCGGGGAAAAATACAGTTGGTCCGCGAGTCGAAAACCAGCTGTTAGGATCGTAAGGGACGCGCTTTCCGACTAGACCTAGTGAAAAAGGACCTAGATTTAATTGAATTTTCAAAACAAAGCGAGCTCAATTTCTTACAGATTTCTGAGAAATGTTCACAAGAAAAGCAAAGACTAGTAGACACGTACAAAATTGTAAAAAAAAAACATAAGTGAAAAAAGCTTTTAAACCAACCGGCAACAAGTGAATCCTGACTTTCTGTAGCAGTCAAGACTCCAGTGCTCACTTCATCGTCTCCGGTTAAACTCTTTCTACATAGATACTCCTTTCTCTCCTCGTTATTAGCTCCACCACTGCTCACTCTGCTTTTGCTTCGCTCACTCGAGCTGTTTCTCTCGGCTCCGAATCGAGTGTCGCTCTCCATCAGAAGTCCAGCGGCTGCCGAAGTCAGTTCAAACAACTCGTCAGTTGGAAGAAACGAGTCTTCGATGCTTCTCCCAGTTGTCCCTGTACCTCCGCTCGGTTGTTCACGCGAAGAAGGCAAGTCTCCCATCAAATTCATCAGGTCAATCAGGGTTCCCATCTCATCGCTCAGTTCAGCTGCCAAGTCCGACAGGGAAGTGGCGTTTTCTGCATCCAACTGGTTTACTTGGAACCGCTCTCCTCTAGTTGCCAGAAGTCTTTCAAACAGGGACAGACGTGCCACAAGCGAAGACGCAGTCGACGGCTTGGTCTGTTTTCGGTTATTTGAATTGCTCTTGTTGTTGTTGTTGTTGTTGTTGTTATTGTAGTTGTTCGGATTATTAGCATTAATATTTGCACTAGCACTCCGATTGGATTCCCTATCAATTGTCATCTTTCTATTTGACTGAGGCAATTCGGCGTGTTTTCTCCCGCCTGAAAATTTAAATGTTTATTAACCACAACAGTTAATTTTTAGAACAGATAATTTTAAAGCATGTAAATTCCCTCGAACTTGTGAGGCTACTAGTATTTAGGTGTTTGAAGTATTTCGATAATTTTCAATGAGTATTTGTACGCGCTTAAGATTAAGCATGTAAAAGAATGTTGATTTTCGTTTACCGAAAAATAATATAACCAGCAGGCATTTAGAAAGGTGTTAATGAACTCAAAGAAAAAAAAATCAATTTTTATGATCACGTTTTAACCTTTCGAGTTTCGGAAATAATCGAAGTCCACTCTCTAGTGGGGTTGTGGCGCATCGGTAATAGGCATTACCGATGGGTAATCGTACGGGTATCTTCGACAGTCATATTATAATAAAACCAAAAAGGCAACCGTTTTTGAAGGAGAAAAAACTAGAAAAACAAAAAAATCATAAAAATAAATTCTTTCAAATTCGAGTTAAATTAAAATAAAGCATAAATAAGCTATTATAAAAGGTCTAAATTAAGCAAAAATAAGCGTGCTCGTCCGCTTTGCTCGCTCGAATTTAGACGAGATATCAAAACTGTTTTTCTCGACAGTGAAATTTTTTGAAACTTTTAATATCGAATCACGCCTGAAAGGGCTCAATATGAAATATCACTCAACCCAGGCTGATGATTATTTGTTGTAACTGATTTTGAGTAGAAAAAAATAACACACCCAAATACAAAAATCCTCCCCATTTTCAATAGTTGGAACAAGTGAAAAAAACCAACCCATAAACCCACAGGACCAGAATTAAGGATAAATCACTTTGACCATCAACACTTGAAAATACGCCACGATACCTTTGGGTCTGGGAGGAAATTGTCCTGTAGTTTGTAGGTCAGATTGACTCATACTCTCTTTGGCATTCGCGTGCTCCTTCTCCCTGGCCACTGACTCCTGCACCAGATGATACACTTTCTTCACATCTTCATTCTCTGCCACAATCGCCGTCAGTCCTCCACTTGTATTGGGGAAGACAGTACTGTAAACACAAACATATTGTCATATATTTGCGCCAGGATTTAATATTTGTGATCTCTGAGCTTAAAGGCTTCTGATCAAAATTGATAATTTTTTAGAATTCAGCTGATAACACCCCGTTCCCGATTGAAACTTCGGTTATTTAAAGGTATGCTATCATTCAGAAATTCGTTCAAACCAAACTCAATCAAATATTTTTTTTAAAAAAATAGTTTTAAACTCAAGCTAAATTTTCCATCACGCTCACCTTTCGGCTTTCTGCTCTTTGAGTCTCCATCTACCAGCAGTTTTGTGTTCCTGCTTGTGAGATCCGTTTGTGCTCCCTGCGACTGAACCTTCGTTTTGCACCATCTTTTCAGACTTCTTGTCATCTCCTTTAGCTTTAGCCACAGATAGCAAAGATGGCGTTGATTTGCACTTGCCAGACGCGTTCGCGCCCAAAGTTGGCGTCACTTTATGAGTTGAATTTTGAGCTCCAATCTGACTGGTAGACACGCTTGCTCTAGCTGCACATCTCTGTTGTTGAATGAGTCCACTTTCGTATTCTGGAGACAATTGCAGGTCGTATTTTGCCTCTGCTCCCATTCTGTAGCTGTTTGTTTGTTCATTGTCCCACCGCACATCCACCCATCCGTCATGCAAGTTACCTGTGATAGTACCCACGGAACCAACACCGCCGTCCTGATCACGCCACTTCCAATCGGGACCCCGCACAACCTGTGCTCCTTTCAACAGGTGCCTCACTTGGGATTTAACTTTCTTTCTCTGTCTTCTGTTGATCGCATCTACCTCTCTCGCTGCTCGTCCCACTTCATCTTCGCACCCTCGCAACACAGTCCCGTACAACTCCAAGCCACTAATTGAAATATAGCAGGTCTGATTGGACGAGTTCTTTCCGCCTTGCATGATGCGCATGTGTCGGAATCCCTTTTCAGTGTCAGTGCCTGAAGGCAGGTCTAACGTCCACGTGTAAGTGCTTCCAGGCTCTGAGAGAGCGCTGTCATTGATATGGGTCTTAAAGTCGACCCAGTTGATACCATCATATGAAAACTGGACTGCCCAATATCTCAGCGCACTCTTTCCGTATCCTCTCGCGTGCCTCAACGTATAGGCTGAAGGCAAAAAGTGAACTCCGAAGTCAAATGCAAACCATGCATGTCTATCGTCTGATGAGTGGACGTTTAATGTTTGATCCCTTGAAAGTATCTGATACAATTTGCCATAAGGCAGTTTCTTCCCATCGCTGCAGCTCACGTGGACAACGCCAAACTCGGCTGGATTGACCCACTCGCTGCACGTATACGCATTGGTTCCAATCCAGTACACCATACCATTCTTGTCGAAATCATGTTCGTATTCACATTTCAATGGTTCCGATGCCGAGTTGATGCTCTTCAGGAAGTGGAATGTAGATCTTTCTCTATCATACCACTGCCGAGCCACAATTCTCAACAAAAATCTGTGCAACGTCTCACTTGTCAGCAGTGGTTCCACTTTTAGAATACGACCAGATCTGTCCAACAATCGAGGACCTTTACTGCATTCATTCAGTCGTTCAAGGCGCAACTTGAACCTCTTATTGAGTATCTGCATATTTGGCATAGCAAGACCTTGGTTTGATCCACTGTTGGGATTTATCGGGTAAAGAAACACAGGTAGACGTTCAACTGAGTCCAAAACTTGAACAATTTTCCTTGCCAGCAGTGCTAAACTGGGCGGGTAAATTTCATTTATGCACTTGCCAAATGAGGTCAGTCGTCGGTTGGCTTCATCTTGTGAATTATTGTCAACACTATCAGACTTGTCATCCTCAATTGAGTTCGGGGAAAGGTAGCTCAACAACGACTGAACAAGACCAGAGTTTTGTAGTTCAAACGAAGTCACGGTAGAGTCAGAAGAGAAGAGTCGAGCAATCTCCTTGAAAGCTTCTTCTTCGCTCAACAAATTTCCGTCTCCTACTTCAGTGGCATCTTCGCCATTTAAGCTCTTGACCACTAAGAAAAGACGCCTCATCGTTTCACTGCTGCTTTGCATTTCTTTGGCCTGTCGCTTCAAGTGTTTCTCGTAAATTGTATTTGCATCTTTGATTACTCTTCGCTTCAGTAGTTCGTTTTGTGTCACCATTGTCTCTTGACTATTGCTGCCCTGACTTTTCACAGTCACTGTCGTCGCTGTAGCTGGTTTGGGGCCATCTGGCTGTCCGAAAATCCTCCCACTGTTTGCACCAGCTGCTGATACCGCCATCGTTTTTCTCGAATCCAGTTGTTCACACCATTGAGAAGCAGCGATTGCCTCCAGCAGAGGAACACGGGCCTTGAAATCAATTTTCTTGTTGGCGATTGAGCGGAACACGAATCCAGGTGCAGACCAACCACTCAACAAAGTGGCCTAAAAGAGTAACTAGATTAGCAGGTCAATAGCGCATGAAAAACCTGTAAATTGTTGAGAAAGTTTCGACCAGTTCGGCTTGCAAAACATGAATCATGTTTTTAAAATCTTCTTTAGTTTTGTTTCTTTGAAACTGTGTCTATTATAAGGACAAAAAATTTCATACTTGATAAAAAAGATTATACGGTAGTGAAGTACTGACCTGGCTTCCTTCTACATTTGATATCTGTAGCTGGACGTTTCCGGTTGGAATTCCCGAATCAGCTGTCTCCGCTTTCAGAGCGAATCTCCAATTTGGACCAAATTTGACAACCTGTCCCTCTTCACTCGCTAGTTCCTCCTTGAACAATGGAATTCCTTGTGGCTCACTGTAATTAGCCGTTTTCTTATCACTTGCTGATTTTTGATGTTGCTTAATTTCGGACTTCGAAAGGAGCAGTTTTCGAGAGAACTCCTGTTTCGAGTCTGCTCCTTCGGTTATTGTGGGCTTGCCACTTGAATACATGGTGTACAGATTTCTGTCCATAAGGTACTTGAACCAGCCATTAGACGATACGGCCAATTGAATTGCACACCATCTATTGAAAATGTAAACTGAGTTGTCATCGACATTCAATTGATTTTGAGTCTTAACTTTTGCTTTAGATTCGGGTTGAGTTTCTTTTGATGCTTCTGTGCTTTCAATCTCGCCTGTTGAGCTGCATTTTGCGGGCCTTCTTATGACTGTCCAATCTTTCCAGTAGTATGCCACTCCACTTTCCAGCTAAAAAAATAAATGGATCGAATACACGGCGCAGTCATCGTTCAAAATATCTTCAATGATTGAGGCATTTCGACGTATTCGCCCATTTACATCACATAAACATAAATTTTATGGTGAAACATGTGGTTTTAAAGTTTTCCCGGAGATGCCAAGTATGTTTTGATTTGTGCCAACTGTCCACAAAAGCCTTCGGGCACCGTGAACAATTTTTACAATTACATTGTCACATGTGCAGCGACGGACCCAGGTCACTATTTAATGAAAACAAACAAAATACTACCTCTATTCCAGGATCTACTTCTGAATCATCTGATGGTCCTGCTTCAGCAATTATGTTCTGCACAACATTTTTGTCCTGTTTCGTCTTGTTTTCATCTTCAATTGACACTGGTGCTGCTGCTGCTGTAGTTTCTTCATAGAGAGCACTCAGACGCCTCACTCTCTCTGCCACTCCTAGTCTCACGAATTGGGCCACTATCACTGACTCAGCCTTACTTCCTAGGTCTCCCATCAGACTCAGCACACCCAATTGGCTGTCATAGTCCTCCTAAATAGAACACAGCACATCATGTCATCAATTAAAGTCATGCAAAAAGAGTTTCACGTAAGCTCAAGTGAAATAGCTTCAAGAACACACTGACACCTTCCAACGGAAAAAAACTTCAATAAACTTTCAATTTTAAACAGACAAACCAAGCTACGACAGTAATGCATATAGAATTATGAGTTTTCAATACAGACAAGATGACCACACGAAGTGCAACAAAATTGGTTTTAATGCACAACGGAAACCAATTTTGACAAAAAAAACCTGGAAATCATTTATTTGCTGCCAATAATACATGCTAGAACAGGTTTCTCTTGCTGATTTGGTGAAAAATCGAAATCAAAATGCAAACAGCTCACATAAATTTGGAAACACTTCAATGAACTGAAAAAACCGAAAATTAACTGTTCATTTTTGAAGTATTTGAAGAAAAAAACTTATGGGCTGCAATTTTTTTGAAAATTGTAAAAAACAAATTTAATTATTTGAACTTTTTAATAAAACTAAACCAAATGAGAAAGCTATATCAAAGGCAAATCTGCTGGAAAAACAAAAGTAATTACACTTTTGAATCACAAGGTCATCTGTATTTTTTGCGTCACTTGCATTTCTGCTTTTGAACAGCATAAATTGCTTTCCAACAAGAATAAAACTTGAACTTGGATGAATGAAAATAGATGAACTATTAAATGATTTGAACAACGAAACATAGCCAACAGACTGTTGAAAAACTAACCCAATTACAGAAAACTGGATCAATAGATAATTTTATATTCCGCTGAGAAATAAATTTGCTGAATGTTTTACTTCAAAGATATATCAATTCCTAAAAAAAGTATTCTAGCGTTTAGAAAAAAAATTTAAGCCCTACTTGTGCTAAAATATACTTGTGAACACTTGTGCTGAAAAATTATTTATAGTTTCAAAATTTTTGTTTCCTACCGTACGCACGCACATGCAAATACTTTTTACCCGTTCAATGAAGTAATATGAGGCAAATAAATCGGTGCCAAGCAGGCGAGCATTTTTAAAATAAAATACTAATCGTAAATTGTATAAGCCTCAGCAGCAAAAAATAAAACAGCTAATTGACAGTTGGAAAAGAGTCAATGAATGCAAGTAAACAAAAAATACTGAATTAATTTTCGAAAAATCCTAACTTTCGAATTACGAAGAAAAATTAGATGGCCTAAAAGCCCTTTGCACTAGAGGCCAGCTGGAGCTGGAAATACCTGTTTGATAATTTTTGTTTTGATGAGGAAGGCCAAAGGTAATTTCAAAAACAGACCTATAGCAAAGAAAAATAAATCCCTATTTAATGACTTCAAAACCTGTTAATTTCATCAATTAATTCAAATTTCTGTTCAAAAAATTGAAGTGATTACAAGAGCTTCTTAGATTGAAAAATGCTTAAAAAGTCGCTCATTAGATTTGGGTGGGCAGTTGTCGAGAGAAGTCAAAAAGTTTCAAGAAACGGCAAAAAAATCGAAAATTTGACTTTTCGAAGTGTCATAATTTTTGTGTAAAAAAATTGGGCGTAGCCGCTTATGCAGGGGAGCTTCCCACAACCTGTTCTATCCGTTGAAACCAAAATGTCAGATGAGGGCGGGTAGTTTTCTCAAGATGTAAAAAAAATCCAAAAGGTTGAGTCAATAAATTCCCAACACACTTTTTCGAAGGGGTAAGATGAAGAGAGACCTGTGATTTATGCAAGCACACAGGGGAGAAGGCGGAATTTCTATCGGTACCACTTTTTTTGGAAATCGCAGTTTTCGAGAAAAACTAACTTTCTTTAAAAAGTGAAAAATTTTTCCAAAACGACTAAAAAAAATGAAAGATATAGAAAAAACTTAATCCCACGCATTTTCATACCAGAGGCCAGCTAAAGCTGGAAATAGCTGTTTGATAATTTATGAATTTTTTCAACTGATGAGTCAGGGAAAGCGAAAACTTCAAAAACTGGGCTTCACCCAAAACCTCAATTGGTTCTCTTATAAAACACAATGAAAGAAAGTTTTTGAGTTCGATTTGACAGGATAACTTTCGAGAAAACCAAGAAATTTCAAAAAAGGTCAAAAAATCAAAAATTCGACCTATCAGAGAGCCACACCTTTTTGCGCAAAAAAATTTGAGCGTCACCGCTTATGCAGAGGAGCTTCCCACAACTTCTTCTATTCGTTGAACCCAAAATCCCAGATTTGGGAGGTTAGTTTTTGAGAAAACCCAATAAGTTTCAAAACTAGGTCAAAAATCGAAAAATCGATTTTTCGGAGGTCGAAAACTTATAATGCAAAAAAATGAGCGTAACCACTTACGCAGGGGAACTAGGGGCCCAGCTGAAATTATTTTTGATTATTTTAATATTGATTATTTTAAAATTGTTTAAAAATTTCAGGTTTCTCAAGTCGATAGCGCCTTTCCTACGCAAAAAAAGTGAAAGAGAAGCTTATGCATTCATTGGTAACGTTTTCGGAACCATACAACTTTTTAAGTTCCCTATTTAGAAGGACTGCCCGCGCCCGATAGACGTCGTTCTGGCGGGGGAGGAGAGATCATACAAAAAATCGTCCTCCCCGTTGTTCTAATACACCTTTGAGGACTAGAATTGAAGTATATAAATGATTAAAGTGAGAGGTACAGATTTTTAATGATACCTCTGAATTGATCTATGAGCGCATCAGGTGACATTTTCAATACATCATTGCTTCCACACAAGATGACAATGGTGTCGTACTGATCGATTGGCGCATGTTTTAAGTGATTTATGACCTCCCATTAAACGGGCCTTTCACAGTGCGACAAGGCAAACCGTATCAATCATGGTTACATGCTAAATATATTTAAAACAAAATCATATGCACAATGCTTCAACAATGTGAATAATTATTCACTAGAATTAAGTGAAATGTGTGTTTCACAAACCAGCTAACATTAATGAAATAAAGTATTTTTCATTTTTCTAACGACTCTTTAATTTTCGAATTAATTAAATTTTGTCCAAGCATTGCAAATATGACTATAATATGTTGACTATAACTGACATCACAAAAACGTTCTGGAACAAACCGACCTGATTAAAGAGAAATAGCGTAACTCGTGCAACTTCTCGTTGGACTTCTTCGAACCATACAAAAAAACTGAACACAAAGCCAATAGCACCAAGCAATAGCGAGAAAACGTAAGCATAGCGGATTCCATTGTCTAAAAAATACACACAATAAGTATATTGAATCTTTGTTCCAATGCCAAAAAACTTTTAAAAAAACTTTTCCTAAGTGTACAGCTCTTCCCCGAGACAAATTAAGGACCAGCCGCTTGGGCAGGGGAGTTTCCTACAACCTGGTCTATCGATTAAACACTTAACCCCAAATCTGGATGGGTAGTTTTTGAGGAAATCGATAATTTCCGAAAAAAAAGGCCAAAAAAGTGACTTTTCCTAAGTCTATAGCTCTTCCCCTAGGCAAGTTAAGGACCAGCCGCTTGTGCGGGGGAGTTTCCTACAACCAGGTCTATCGGTTAAACACTTAATTCCAAATCTGGATGGGTAGTTTTTGAGGAAATCGATAATTTCCGAAAAAAAAGGCCGAAAAAGTGACTTTTCCTAAGTCTATAGCTCTTCCCCTAGGCAAGTTAAGGACCAGCCGCTTGTGCGGGGGAGTTTCCTACAACCTGGTCTATCGATTAAACCCTTAATTCCAAATCTGGTTGGGTAGTTTTTGAGGAAATAGATAATTTCCGAAAAAATAGGCAAAAAAATCAAAAAATTGACTATTCCTAAGTGTATAGCTCTTCCCCTAGACAAATTAGGGACAAGCCGTTTGTGTAGGGGGGGTTCCTACAACCTGGTCTATCGATTAAACCCTTAATCCCAAATCTGGACGGGTAGTTTTTGAGGAAATCGGAAAGATTTGAAAAAAGGCCAAAAAAAGTAAAAAAAAAAGACTTTTCCTAAGTCTATAGCTCTTCCCCTAGGCAAGTTAAGGACCAGCCGCTTAAGCGAGGGAGTTTCCTACAACCAGGTCTATCGGTTAAACCCTTAATTCCAAATCTGGTTGGGTAGTTTTTGAGGAAATAGATAATTTCCGAAAAAATAGGCAAAAAAATCAAAAAATTGACTATTCCTAAGTGTATAGCTCTTCCCCTAGACAAATTAGGGACAAGCCGTTTGTGTAGGGGGGGTTCCTACAACCTGGTCTATCGATTAAACCCTTAATCCCAAATCTGGACGGGTAGTTTTTGAGGAAATCGGAAAGATTTGAAAAAAGGCCAAAAAAAGTCAAAAAAAAGACTTTTCCTAAGTCTATAGCTCTTCCCCTAGGCAAGTTAAGGACCAGCCGCTTGTGCGGGGGAGTTTTCTACAACCTGCTCTATCGATTAAATCCTTAATTCCAAATCTGGATGGGTAGTTTTTGAGGAAATCGATAATTTCCGAAAAAAAAAGGCCAAAAAAGTGACTTTTCCTAAGTCTATAGCTCTTCCCCTAGGCAAGTTAAGGACCAGCCGCTTGTGCGGGGGAGTTTCCTACAACCTGGTCTATCGATTAAAACCTTAATTCCAAATCTGGATGGGTAGTTTTTGAGGAAATCGATAATTTCCGAAAAAATGGGCAAAAAAATCAAAAAATTGACTATTCCTAAGTGTATAGCTCTTCCCCTAGACAAATTAGGGACGAGCCGTTTGTGTAGGGGGGGGGGGTTCCTACAACTTGGTCTATCGATTAAACCCTTAATCCCAAATCTGGACGGGTAGTTTTTGAGGAAATCGGAAAGATTTGAAAAAAGGCCAAAAAAGTCAAAAAAGTGACTTTTCCTAAGTCTATAGCTCTTCCCCTAGGCAAGTTAAGGACCAGCCGCTTGTGCGGGGGAGTTTCCTACAACCTGCTCTATCGATTAAACCCTTAATTCCAAATCTGGATGGGTAGTTTTTGAGGAAATCGATAATTTCCGAAAAAAAAAAGGCCAAAAAAGTCAAAAAAGTGACTTTTCCTAAGTCTATAGCTCTTCCCCTAGGCAAGTTAAGGACCAGCCGCTTGGTGCGGGGGAGTTTCCTACAACCTGGTCTATCGATTAAACCCTTAATTCCAAATCTGGATGGGTAGTTTTTGAGGAAATCGATAATTTCCGAAAAAATGGGCAAAAAAATCAAAAAATTGACTATTCCTAAGTGTATAGCTCTTCCCCTAGACAAATTAGGGACGAGCCGTTTGTGTAGGGGGGGGGGGTTCCTACAACTTGGTCTATCGATTAAACCCTTAATCCCAAATCTGGACGGGTAGTTTTTGAGGAAATCGGAAAGGTTTGAAAAAAGGCCAAAAAAGTCAAAAAAGTGACTTTTCCTAAGTCTATAGCTCTTCCCCTAGCCAAATTAAGGACCAGCCGCTTGTGCGGGGGAGTTTCCTACAACCTGCTCTATCGATTAAACCCTTAATTCCAAATCTGGATGGGTAGTTTTTGAGGAAATCGATAATTTCCGAAAAAATAGGCAAAAAAATCAGTAGTTTTGTTTCGTTGAAACTGTGTCTATTACAGTGCTGATTTAAATTAACCGGACAAAACGCGTTAAACTTGAAATTTAAAACCCGTTTTTCTCATATTGGGTCGAGTTTAGGTGAAAACTTATGAAAAAAAACTTGCTTAAAATTTTAGCAGAATTAATATGGTGTCATTTGTTTTGCGAAGTTCGGGCCCAAAATTTTACCCCAAAAATGGGTTATTTTGCGGTTTCTTAGTGAATCAAAAATTACGCCGAAAATACCCCGTCGATCGCAGACTTAATTAAATGAAAGTGAGCCCCTTACGTAGCCCAACAAACTTTAAGATGGGTATTATCTCTAAAAATTTGCGCAAATTGTTTAAAACTTGTTATTAAGCAAAAATTCTGGGTTTTAGATAGTAAAAATCACATTTATTGACTATCAAGTAATTTTTTTTCTCTTATACAGGTTTATGGAGATTTAACCCTGCTTAGACTTTGTTGGGCTGTGTAAGAGGCTTCTTGTGAAGAAATTTTGCTTATCAATTAACAAAATAGTTTCAGCGTAATTCTTGATTAAGTGAAAAAAGCCATAATGACCCATTTTTGGGGTAAAATTTTTGTTGAGAATTTCGGAGAGAAAATGGCACTATCTTAATTCTGGTGAAAATCTAAGCAATTTTTTTTGTTCTCCTCACTTTTTGTCTAATCTTAACCCAATTTGAGAAAAACGCGTTTCAAAATTCAAATTTTGTTCGTTTTGTCCGGATAATTTAAATCAGCACTGTATAAGGACAAAAAATTTCATACTTGATAAAAAAGGTTATACGGTAGTGAAGTACTGACCTGGCTTCCTTCTACATTTGATATCTGTAGCTGGACGTTTCCGGTTGGAATTCCCGAATCAGCTGTCTCCGCTTTCAGAGCGAATCTCCAATTTGGACCAAATTTGACAACCTGTCCCTCTTCACTCGTTAGTTCCTCCTTGAACAATGGAATTCCTTGTGACTCACTGTAATTAGCCGTTTTCTTATCACTTGCTGATTTTTGATATTGCTTTACTTCGGACTTCGAAAGGAGCAGTTTTCGAGAGAACTGTTTGGAGTCTGCTCCTTCGGTTATTGTGGGCTTGCCACTTGAATACATGGTGTACAGATTTCTGTCCATGAGGTACTTGAACCAGCCATTAGACGATACGGCCAATTGAATTGCACACCATCTATTGAAAATGTAAACTGAGTTGTCATCGACATTCAATTGATTTTGAGTCTTAACTTTTGCTTTAGATTCGGGTTGAGTTTCTTTTGATGCTTCTGTGCTTTCAATCTCGCCTGTTGAGCTGCATTTTGCGGGCCTTCTTATGACTGTCCAATCTTTCCAGTAGTATGCCACTCCACTTTCCAGCTAAAAAAAATAGATGGATCGAATACACGGCGCAGTCATCGTTCAAAATATCTTCAATGATTGAGGCATTTCGACGTATTCGCCCATTTACATCACATAAACATAAATTTTATGGTGAAACATGTGGTTTTAAAGTTTTCCCGGAGATGCCAAGTATGTTTTGATTTGTGCCAACTGTCCACAAAAGTCTTCGGGCACCATGAACAATTTTTACAATTACATTGTCACATGTGCAGCGATGGACCCAGGTCACTATTTAATGAAAACAAACAAAATACTACCTCTATTCCAGGATCTACTTCTGAATCATCTGATGGTCCTGCTTCAGCAATTATGTTCTGCACAACATTTTTGTCCTGTTTAGTCTTGTTTTCATCTTCAATTGACACTGGTGCGGCTGCTGCTGTAGTTTCTTCATAGAGAGCACTCAGACGCCTCACTCTCTCTGCCACTCCTAGTCTCACGAATTGGGCCACTATCCCTGACTCAGCCTTACTTCCTAGGTCTCCCATCAGACTCAGCACACCCAATTGGCTGTCATAGTCCTCCTAAATAGAACACAGCACATCATGTCATCAATTAAAGTCATGCAAAAAGAGTTTCACGTAAGCTCAAGTGAAATAGCTTCAAGAACACACTGACTGACACCTTCCAACGGAAAAAAACTTCAATAAACTTTCAATTTTAAACAGACAAACCAAGCTACGACAGTAATGCATATAGAATTATGAGTTTTCAATACAGACAAGATGACCACGCGAAGTGCAACAAAATTGGTTTCAATGCACAACGGAAACCAATTTTTACAAAAAAAACCTGGAAATTATTTATTTGCTGCCAATAATACATGCTAGAACATGTTTCTCTTGCTGATTTGGTGAAAAATCGAAATCAAAATGCAAACAGCTCACATAAATTTGGAAACACTTCAATGAACTGAAAAAACCGAAAATTAACTGTTCATTTTGGAAGTATTTGAAGAAAAAAACTTATGGGCTGCAATTTTTTTGAAAATTGTAAAAAACAAATTTAATTATTTGAACTTTTTAATAAAACTAAACCAAATGAGAAAGCTATATCAAAGGCAAATCTGCTGGAAAAACAAAAGTAATTACACTTTTGAATCACAAGGTCATCTGTATTTTTTGCGTCACTTGCATTTCTGCTTTTGAACAGCATAAATTGCTTTCCAACAAGAATAAAACTTGAACTTGGATGAATGAAAATAGATGAACTATTAAATGATTTGAACAACGAAACATAGCCAACAGACTGTTGAAAAACTAACCCAATTACAGAAAACTGGATCAATAGATAATTTTATATTCCGCTGAGAAATAAATTTGCTGAATGTTTTACTTCAAAGATATATCAATTCCTAAAAAAAGTATTCTAGCGTTTAGAAAAAAAATTTAAGCCCTACTTGTGCTAAAATATACTTGTGAACACTTGTGCTGAAAAATTATTTATAGTTTCAAAATTTTTGTTTCCTACCGTACGCACGCACATGCAAATACTTTTTACCCGTTCAATGAAGTAATATGAGGCAAATAACTCGGTGCCAAGCAGGCGAGCATTTTTAAAATAAAATACTAATCGTAAATTGTATAAGCCTCAGCAGCAAAGAATAAAACAGCTTATTGACAGTTGGAAAAGAGTCAATGAATGCAAGTAAACAAAAAATACTGAATTAATTTTCGAAAAATCCTAACTTTCGAATTACGAAGAAAAATTAGATGGCCTAAAAGCCCTTTGCACTAGAGGCCAGCTAGAGCTGGAAATACCTGTTTGATAATTTTTGTTTTGATGAGGAAGGCCAAAGGTAATTTCAAAAACAGACCTATAGCAAAGAAAAATAAATCCCTATTTAATGACTTCAAAACCTGTTAATTTCATCAATTAATTCAAATTTCTGTTCAAAAAATTGAAGTGATTACAAGAGCTTCTTAGATTGAAAAATGCTTAAAAAGTCGCTCATTAGATTTGGGTGGGCAGTTGTCGAGAGAAGTCAAAAAGTTTCAAGAAACGGTAAAAAAATCGAAAATTTGATTTTTCGAAGTGTCATAATTTTTGTGTAAAAAAATTGGGCGTAGCCGCTAATGCAGGGGAGCTTCCCACAACCTGTTCTATCCGTTGAAACCAAAATGTCAGATGAGGGCGGGTAGTTTTCTCAAGGTGTAAAAAAAATCCAAAAGGTTGAGTCAATAAATTCCCAACACACTTTTTCGAAGGGGTAAGATGCAGAGAGACCTGTGATTTATGCAAGCACACAGGGGAGAAGGCGGAATTTCTATCGGTACCACTTTTTTTGGAAATCGCAGTTTTCGAGAAAAACTAACTTTCTTTAAAAAGTGAAAAATTTTTCCAAAACGACTTAAAAAAATGAAAGATATAGAAAAAACTTAATCCCACGCATTTTCATACCCGAGGCCAGCTAAAGCTGGAAATAGCTGTTTGATAATTTATGAATTTTTTCAACTGATGAGTCAGGGAAAGCGAAAACTTCAAAAACTGGGCTTCACCCAAAACCTCAATTGGTTCTCTTATAAAACACAATGAAAGAAAGTTTTTGAGTTCGATTTGACAGGATAACTTTCGAGAAAACCAAGAAATTTCAAAAAAGGTCAAAAAATCAAAAATTCGACCTATCAGAGCCACACCTTTTTGCGCAAAAAAATTTGAGCGTCACCGCTTATGCAGAGGAGCTTCCCACATTTTCTTCTATTCGTTGAACCCAAAATCCCAGATTTGGGAGGTTAGTTTTTGAGAAAACCCAATAAGTTTCAAAACTAGGTCAAAAATCGAAAAATCGATTTTTCGGAGGTCCAAAACTTATAACGCAAAAAAATGAGCGTAACCACTTACGCAGGGGAACTAGGGGCCCAGCTGAAATTATTTTTGATTATTTCAATATTGATTATTTTAAAATTGTTTAAAAATTTCAGGTTTCTCAAGTCGATAGCGCCCTTCCTACGCAAAAAAAGTGAAAGAGAAGCTTATGCATTCATTGGTAACGTTTTCGGAACCATACAACTTTTTAAGTTCCCTATTTAGAAGGACTGCCCGCGCCCGATAGACGTCGTTCTGGCGGGGGAGGAGAGATCATACAAAAAATCGTCCTCCCCGTTGTTCTAATACACCTTTGAGGACTAGAATTGAAGTATATAAATGATTAAAGTGAGAGGTACAGATTTTTAATGATACCTCTGAATTGATCTATGAGCGCATCAGGTGACATTTTCAATACATCATTGCTTCCACACAAGATGACAATGGTGTCGTACTGATCGATTGGCGCATGTTTTAAGTGATTTATGACCTCCCATTAAACGGGCCTTTCACAGTGCGACAAGGCAAACCGTATCAATCATGGTTACATGCTAAATATATTTAAAACAAAATCATATGCACAATGCTTCAACAATGTGAATAATTATTCACTAGAATTAAGTGAAATGTGTGTTTCACAAACCAGCTAACATTAATGAAATAAAGTATTTTTCATTTTTCTAACGACTCTTTAATTTTCGAATTAATTAAATTTTGTCCAAGCATTGCAAATATGACTATAATATGTTGACTATAACTGACATCACAAAAACGTTCTGGAACAAACCGACCTGATTAAAGAGAAATAGCGTAACTCGTGCAACTTCTCGTTGGACTTCTTCGAACCATACAAAAAAACTGAACACAAAGCCAATAGCACCAAGCAATAGCGAGAAAACGTAAGCATAGCGGATTCCATTGTCTAAAAAATACACACAATAAGTATATTGAATCTTTGTTCCAATGCCAAAAAACTTTAAAAAAAACTTTTCCTAAGTGTACAGCTCTTCCCCGAGACAAATTAAGGACCAGCCGCTTGGGCAGGGGAGTTTCCTACAACCTGGTCTATCGATTAAACACTTAATCCCAAATCTGGATGGGTAGTTTTTGAGGAAAATCGATAATTTCCGAAAAAAAGGCCAAAAAAGTGACTTTTCCTAAGTCTATAGCTCTTCCCCTAGGCAAGTTAAGGACCAGCCGCTTGTGCGGGGGAGTTTCCTACAACCTGGTCTATCGATTAAACCCTTAATTCCAAATCTGGATGGGTAGTTTTTGAGGAAATCGATAATTTCCGAAAAAAAAGGCCAAAAAAGTGACTTTTCCTAAGTCTATAGCTCTTCCCCTAGGCAAGTTAAGGACCAGCCGCTTGTGCGGGGGAGTTTCCTACAACCTGGTCTATCGATTAAACCCTTAATTCCAAATCTGGATGGGTAGTTTTTGAGGAAATCGATGATTTCCGAAAAAATAGGCAAAAAATTCAAAAAATTGACTAGTCCTAAGTGTATAGCTCTTCCCCTAGACAAATTAGGGACGAGCCGTTTGTGTAGGGGGGGTTCCTACAACCTGGTCTATCGATTAAACCCTTAATCCCAAATCTGGACGGGTAGTTTTTGAGGAAATCGGAAAGATTTGAAAAAAGGCCAAAAAAAGTCAAAAAAGTGACTTTTCCTAAGTCTATAGCTCTTCCCCTAGGCAAGTTAAGGACCAGCCGCTTGTGCGGGGGAGTTTTCTACAACCTGGTCTATCGATTATACCCTTAATTCCAAATCTGGATGGGTAGTTTTTGAGGAAATCGATAATTTCCGAAAAAAAAGGCCAAAAAAGTCAAAAAAGTGACTTTTCCTAAGTCTATAGCTCTTCCCCTAGGCAAGTTAAGGACCAGCCGCTTGTGTGGGAGTTTCCTACAACCTGGTCTATCGATTAAACCCTTAATTCCAAATCTGGATGGGTAGTTTGAGGAAATCGATAATTTCCGAAAAAATAGGCAAAAAAATAAAAAAAATTGACTATTCCTAAGTGTATAGCTCTTCCCCTAGACAAATTAGGGACGAGCCGTTTGTGTAGGGGGGGGGGGGGGGAGTTCCTACAACTTGGTCTATCGATTAAACCCTTAATCCCAAATCTGGACGGGTAGTTTTTGAGGAAATCGGAAAGATTTGAAAAAAGGCCAAAAAAGTCAAAAAAGTGACTTTTCCTAAGTGTACAGCTCTTCCCCGAGACAAATTAAGGACCAGCCGCTTGGGCAGGGGAGTTTCCTACAACCTGGTCTATCGATTAAACACTTAATCCCAAATCTGGATGGGTAGTTTTTGAGGAAATCGATAATTTCCGAAAAAAAGGCCAAAAAAGTGACTTTTCCTAAGTCTATAGCTCTTCCCCTAGGCAAGTTAAGGACCAGCCGCTTGTGCGGGGGAGTTTTCTACAACCTGGTCTATCGATTAAACCCTTATTTCCAAATCTGGATGGGTAGTTTTTGAGGAAATCGATAATTTCCGAAAAAATAGGCAAAAAAATCAAAAAAGTGACTTTTCCTAAGTCTATAGCTCTTCCCCTAAGCAAATTAGGGACCAGCCGCTTGTGCATGGGAGTTTCCTACAACCTGGTCTATCGATTAAACCCTTAATCCCAAATCTGAACGGGTAGTTTTTGAGGAAATTGAAAATTACCGAAAAAATGGGCAAAAAGTGAAAAAAGTACCGAGTTGTACCGAGTTGAAAAA